GAAGTCCGTGTTATTGTTATTCCATTAAAGCTGGAAAATCATCAGATAATTTCCAACCTCGTTTTTTTGGGTCTTCTTTTTATTAAACACCTAAGATAAACTTGACTGACCCTCACTGGTCTTTTTTACGTTGAAGAGCAAACAAACATTAAATCCCACTCTTATCAAAAGCCTACTAAAATCGCAATATTTTCTATGATTTTTCTTTCTTTTACTAAAAAAGTGATGTTCTTACACACTTTCATTTGTTTGTAAAACATTCAATAGCTCTGTTTCCTGAAAAGCAAAATATGAAACCTAACTTTCGCTTCTTCGAAATTGACTAAACTGGTGAAGTGTAAGTGACTCTTGAACACTCTGAATGATGTATTATAGTTGTGTTGGAATTCACGTATCACGTGACATCTAACTGATCCTGCTTCAATAATTGAAGCTAACTAATAACGTTCGCCGCATAATTACTTCCTTTAAATAGCTCTGCGAAACCAGATCATTACTAGTAGTGTTACTTGTTTTATCTTGCAACATCTTAGAAACCTTCCACTGTATAGTCATTTAAATTACCAACTGCCATTAGTTAGTCTATACGCCATGGTTGTGTTATATATGCAAACAATTAGTCCCCATATGAAGAATGCTGAAAACTTGCTGACTGAGTGTTCCTACCTAGTTACCTTCTTCCTTCCATTGATGAGTTTGAGTTTGTTTATCCTCTGACAAGTATTGAAGAAGGAACTCTCATATGAAATCTAAATCATAAACATTGAGTTCAAGTCACGCCCAGTAAAAAACTTTCTTGTCCTTCATATAAAACACCAAAACGTAGTGTAATACATGCACTATACTCTTTTGGTTAGTTCCACTTTTTGAAATTAACATGTCATCGAAATGATGCAGCGAACCCCGTGTAGTTTACAGATCTCATCTAGCTTAAATTCACAGGAATAAGTCAGACCACTGTAACTTGTGTCCAGCAGACACACATTTGATAGTTAAATGCTCAACAGCCTTTGGAATATTTATTTTTAATGTTTTGTTTGAATTTAGATGAACAAGGCTGTTTCGGTCATGATATAAACCTGTCCACATAAACAGCTAGATAATAAAGAGATATATGCTAATTTGAGGTGACAAAGCGAATGGTTATTCATTCATCACTATAACGAGTTAATAAACAAAGCATTAACAACTTTTCAGTGTTTAACTTATGAGTGATGGATATAGAGAATAAAATGAATGCTGACATTATGGTTTTTCAAACAAATCACAGGTACCACTTTTGAATATAACTGATTCTTAATGTGAAAGTGAACATTTCCAAACAATAGTGTCTATATGGCATAGAATAATGAACTATTCAGATAAATATACTTGATGACTAACTAGTAGACGTCCAACGAATTTTCACAAGATTTTGCCATATGTCAACATGAATAGCCAGTTAAATTTGCTTATTGATTCAAAGATATTCGACAACTACGGTGTCATTGTCAGTCACTAGTTTTCGTGGTTTACTTGATAAAGCAAGGAGCCAGTAACTGGGACGTCACTGGTTTGAATCTTGGTGTAACTCAGGTTGTCACTTCATCTTCAATCATTACCCGGTAACAATTAAAATTCTTCTCGAACTATAGTTTCATAGTGACAACTGTGCAAGTATATATCAATGAAATTTCAATTAACATAACTATAAACGTTATCAGAATGACCTAGACATGTATTTCTTAACTGACCAATAAAGTAGTAATCGTTAACAAACTGTTTGTGGCTTAGGCTATGGAAATCTTCTAGCAATGAAGCTAAATTTATCACCGTTCACTGTAACTGAATACTTTTATAATCAATCAAATGCAGCTCGTTCTTTTGTAATGTCCTGACAAGTGGCTACTGGATGCAACATAATAGTTCGGAGTTTGTAATTTGTCCTACTTTGCAGTACATTGCGTCATATTCTATCAGATAATGTGAGTAGCCATTACTGATCATTTCAAACCGACAAGCCATTTCGTTCCTTCGTTATCATCTATATTCCTGTTCAACTTAATTTTCTTTAAGAATAATAACTCCAAAACTTGAAAAACTTTTTCTTTTTGTGATGTTTTCACTCCCAGGAGAAAAAAAGAATAATTTCAATCAATTTTTCAATTAATCTAACGATAATTTTCCAAAATCTATTTACTTTTACTATAAACGTTAGACGTGAGCAGAAAAGAATTTGACATTAATCCTTCTGTCAATGAAACATGTCTACTTATTTATCATTACCAATTCATTGAAAAATCTTAGCATCAGAAGTTTACGGAATTAATAAAATATTAATAAATCTCAGAGGATACTTTGATTGGAAGAACTTAGTTCACGATAAAAGGGAAACTTGACGCTACTGTATTACAACTGACTACATGTGATGAATGAATTCTTCATTTTTGACGCCATAATTTTATCATTTAAACTTCAGATAACTTTAGAATGTCTACAACACTGAGACAGTATAATGATGAGTTCATCATTTATTCATCACATCCTATTTAGTGAGGAAAATCTATCTTTCTATTATCACAATTTTATTGTTAGTTAGCCTTTTCATCAGCCTGACAACATTTATATCATTAATCTGATGATTTAAAGAAATGCTGTTTAAACATGAAGAGGATTTGAGGTAACGCAGGATTCGTGCAGTTTGTCTTCAAGTTCAAATCTTCACGAGGACCTTAAAGCAGCTTTATATATCCAAGCATTATATAGTGATTTTAAACAAAGCGAACTGATGAAGTTATATAAAAGGTTGTAAATCACTTGACTTTATTTTGTGCAAACATTCACTGACTATAAAAACTCACTTGAGGTGAATAGTTAAGTTATTTCGGGAATAAACATAAGACGTACCATTTAGTATTTCACTGATGAATTCGACTTCACGATACTCAACTTTTATAAACTCATAATTTGATGTGATCGTCATTTACCCCTGGGTTATTGCCAACTACTTCCTCTAGTATGCACTGGCAAGAGGTGAATTACCGATGCACTAGAAATTAGTTTGTTTGCCTAATTATAATTCAGACTAGGTTAAACGTTTTATAGATGAAAAACTCTTTAACATTTTACCACAGTGATTACTCACATTATTCGATCAATCTAAATATAAAAAATTGAAGGTATCAGAATTACGAGTGAAAATTGATCCAACAGTAATATCAAGGCATGACATTACAAAATACAAGTCGTATTTTATGACATTTTGATGTCATGCTTCTATTTTTCTTAAAGTGTAATGATCACTTTTATTCTTACAAATTCTTACAGTTGAAATGTGATACTTTCCGACACTTAGTACTTAGCCAAAAATAAGTATTCTTTGCATTTGTTTAGATATTAAGCTATTGAAAATAATCAAACCTGCTGTGAGAACAATTTGCTTGTGAGAAATACATAGATCACCTAAACAACAACAGCTTATCTCACCGAGTCGAAATCACATTAGTGGTAATAATTCTGCAAATAATAATTATTGTAAATTTCCCAAAATGTCGTCGGAAATTATTGATTATTATTAGTTATTCCTAACCGATGATAATATCAAATGATACAATAATTGAAGTAGAGTAAATCTAAATATTTACCTTTGATATAAAATAATATATCTATGAGTTTTAAAATATTGAAGCAAGTCAAAAAATATCACTGCAATTATATTGCTGAACACGTATTACATTCGCTATTCATAAATAGTTTAGACTGAATTATAGTTGTGCTCTATTTTACTTTTCGTTTATAAGGATTAAAGTGTTAACCGGAAGGCAGATTTATAGTGAAAATTATTCATGAGTTCTGGTAGAAAAACATAACACAGCTGTCTACAGGATCATCTACACATTATTTTTTACACAAAAGACTGGTGTGTACAATAATTTGCGATTCATTTTCTGAATTCTGATCAGCAACATCAGTCTTTTGATTATGTACCTGTTTGACAAAAGAAACTTATTGAAACACTAATAAGTTTGACATTCTTTAAAGAAAAATAGATATGGGTATACCTACATCTACTCGTCATAGACAGTGACGCTGTTACCGAGCTATTTGGAACTCGACTGACCTCTTCTAGCACTAGACTAAGTGCACCGATTGGTCGTTGGAGAGGAACCAATAACACCTTGTCCATTACAGACTGCTTACTAAATTCTATCTTTCATTTTGGAGTTTGGTCAAGTAGCTATGAAGTTTACTACCATTACCTCTGTGACACAGTTTTAAACCTCATAGTGGACAGCAGGAAGCAGATATACCTGACTGAAGAAAGTCAACAAGCACAAAACCTAGGTACATGGTTCCCTGCCAAATGTCTTCGACCAACTTAAATCCACCAAAGTATATCATGGTAATAGACCTCAGCTTGGTCAACATATTGCTCAATAATAGATGGAATTTAGTCAGCACTCAGGACTAGACAATATGAAATTTGTTGCTCTCTAGTTGCCGTTTAATGTACAGTTACTATTTACCTGTAAAACGAACATTTCGGATAGCAACATACTATAAGAAAAATCTCACATAGATGTTAGAACTTGGCAAAAGACGCCTTTACAATAGTGAAAATCCTTATTCTGATTGACTTGGATTCATGATTATTGTAAAATATTCGTATTTACTGACCGATATCCTAATTAAAATATTTTTGATAATGAAGCGCTGATGTTGAAATGATAGTAGTCAGTAGAGACATTTTCATAAAAGTCAATTCAATGATAGGCTAAAAGATACAAAACCAAGGGAGTCATCAGAGCACTTCAACAAATGACTCCAACAATCTTCCTTTATTCACTACTTGGCTGAACAATGAGTCGAATACTCATCTAAAACGATTAACTCTGATGAAAATTCAAAAGAATGTAATTAAGACAAAAATACTTTCAATAGATATGGTCCACCTCAGTGTTTACCTACATTAAGTGAAAATATGAAAAAACCTAAACTTGGACTTTAACCCCAAAATTTTCATATGTCCATTGAAAACAAATATATTTTCATTTTTTCAAGTATATTTCTATGATATAATCGTTTTAAAAATTTGTAAGTGTAAGCTCAACTGTTTATCAAATTAAAAAGCAGCATTGATTTATGCATTATTGACAGTTTCCATCTTTTTTTGCTATCCACGGGGTGTATTTACTACATACTGTCTTATATTCCAGTGAAGCGAAAGAATAAAATTGTATTTCAACAGAAAGCATAAAGATGATAAGGAAATATACAATAATGTAGATATATTTCTTTTTTATCACGCTAAAAACACAGAGTCCTAGTAAAATTAGTTAAATATTTTTTTCAACAAATACTCAATAATTAGGCTTCGCAATATATGAGTTGTAGAAGAAAAAATCTAAGGAAGAAGAGAAATATAGAGAGGTATAGGAAAAGCGGTATGTTATGCATCTATAATTTCTTCCCTGGAAAATAAAACAAAATCACTTCTCAAAAATTGTTTCACATTTTACCACTGGTCCTCCTTGATTACAACAATTATTTTATGGAATGAATATGAAATTTGATAAATACACTGCTTTTTTTATGAGAATTTTTCCCAAAATTTTATTTGAGCAGCAATTTTATGAAAAAAACTATTGATATAAGTTTAGCACTGGGGTTCAAATAAGTTAAAAAGAGAAATCCCATTTGGAATGTGTAGTGATATTTCTTCATCCTGTGTGTATACACCAACATTAGGAGTTAAATGACTCAAAAACCTTCAATGATCCATAACGATGTGGGAATTTGTCAACATTATGTCCTTTCTTCGATTGTGTTCAATATCTTCAATAAATTTTACATTATTTATGATAGACGGTTTAGTGCCTAACGGAAGTGTCGAGGACTGTTTTCCAATCGATGTCTTTCTCAGTGGTGGTTCATCAAATAAATGATTATGATGCCCTAAATCTACATTACTAAACAACGGTTTTCGCCACCTAGGTTGAAGTGTATCGCTCACTATCGGTGACTGACGCTGGGAATCCGACGAGGTGACACTGTGAAGTGTCAGAGAGAACTGTTTGTTCTCCAGTGGCTTCTGATGTGTAAATGTATTTATTGAAGGTAATGCAGTCTGCGTGCAAAGATTTGATTCATTAATTGAATAACGATTTCCTTTTTTCCACGATGGGCTGTCAAATAAACAATCATTGGAAGATGGTATTGGACTGCATTGTGTTTTGTTTAGTAAGAGTTCTTTTGAATTATAAGGACGTGCGTACTTTGACCTGACTGGAAAAAAGTACAATAAAACGGAATGAAACAGTTTATAAATCAGAACATCATGCGCTACAGTCTCTCAAAGCACTATGCTGAAACAAGTAAATGATTAATTTTTAGAATGATGTATACTTTGCTGTGCAGCATGTTTCAGAAGTCAGTATAACTAAATACTTGAAATGGTGAGAATGGATGTTTTATTCATTTTTCTATGAAATTCACTTTTCTTTACTGAATTAAAAGACAAACTGCTCTTCAGTTGGTAGTCAGTTTAGTTTTCGCATTTTGTAATGATTTCACCTAATATGACTAAACTTTAAATGGGTGTTCTTACAAAGCGACCATTTTTTAATGCTACTCATTTACATAGTCAAATGCGATCATGCAAAGTTTATAAGACGAGTTAGTGAGTGATAAAGTGTGCGCAGCTAGTTGAAATCAACATCCATGTTGACTATTCGTAAATATCAGGAAATTCCTATTCTATGGGTATCAATGCTTGGGATCCTTTGTCAATACGCACCATATTAAATTATAATCCAGCAGATGCATACATCATTTGTAATCTTCTAAGAACTGAATATTTCGATTATGTTCTAGCTGTTTAAAATGCTTTCTCAAGCTCACCTTTCATATTCTTTCATATCATTCTATTACTGAGCGAATTGATACGATTTGATTTTCTTTTCTGCTAGTTTCCTTCGTAATCTACGTTTGTTTTACTATGCAAATCTGCATTGGTAGCACTTCAGTTATGTATTTTGTGTTAGCTTCGATTTCCTTTAAAACAGTGTAGGATTTATCGTCAATTTCCTTTATGGTTTATGCAAGACTTTTATGGGGAAACCTTTGTGCAACACTCACTTTCACGTTCACACTTAACTTATCTAACCAAACATGACACGCTAAGTTATTTCAAATAAGTATTCACGAGTGAAAGGTTTGTGTAATATGGTAGTACTTATCTAATTAGTTTCTACTTTCCTTTTCAAATATATATATATATATATATATATATGAGTTTTCTGCAGTGTTTACAAGGGGTACTTATTTGTTTTTAACTCACGTTTTGTCGAATCATGATTGACAGGTTCCTCTTCACTGGCTCCCTGACCAGAGTCTGCACTTCCCCCATCGACTTCTGAGACAGCAATATTCATACGCAGTTGCTGAGGAAATTGGAAGCAAAAAAGGGAACTACATTGTGAATCAAAATATAAAAATCTTTAATTTTCAACAATATACTCACTACGTTACCTGTAGTAAAGTTAAATAAAGCTATTGGAGTGTCACTGAGTTACATAACCAATTCTCAAGTGATGTTAATTTTCATGTCGAATAAACATAAGTGATAACAACTTGCACTTCTGAGTAGTACATAAACAGACTACTTACTCATATGAAAAGTAAACAGGAATACTGTAATCGGTACTATAATGTGACTATGTGAACATACCACTAAACTGTGTTTATTTCAGATGTTTTCTGTTTCTCTGCGTTCTATAGGTTCCAATTACAATCAAGCCGCCAAAGTATATCTTCTCTGTTACAAAGTCCTATTTCTTAAAGTTTCATTTTTGACAGGAATGTGAATTCAGTTTAATATCTTAGTTTTAATAGTAATGGTCGTTTGATACTGCCCTACTAACTGGGGATAATATGTTACCAGAATTTTTATTTTCAGGTTAGCTCCTCTTAATTCTTATAGATAAATATGAAAAGTATGTCTTATGTATTCGTAAGATCCTGAATTTCCTACGAAGATTAGTTACTTGTTATTAGAGATGTTTAGTTCTCTTCCATTGCCTTTAACTCTGAGGATAACTTAAGACTTATTGTTTTTCATCTGAATTGCGAAAATCAAAAATAAGTTGTAGTTTTTTGAGATAAATCCTCATGACGTTTTCATTTTCCAACACTACAGATTAATAACCTGGAAAGGCAGTCTTCAAATGCTGAAATTCCTAGTTCAAGGCAATTCCACACTTGTGAGTAACATCTACAAAAGACAAAAATATTCATTGACTTAGAAGCTACATCCTTATTTCTTAGCATATCCAGTATAAGTAAGACAAACGTTGCCTCCCGAACTCATACTTAAAGCTAAGAATTTATTTGACGCTGAAATCCATTCAGTTAGAATAGGGTAAACCGTCACTAACAGTCAAAGACTCGGAATCTTGCACATGAAATAATTACCTCTTTTATGCAATATTCAATAAACGGGGATAGTTTTTAAAAATTTCTCGTACTTTCTTAAGTATAAAACTAAGCTGCTATGACTGGGCTTGAATTTATGAAAGTGCTTTTCAAAGAACAGGTTGGCTGATTTCAGTCAGCAGAATACTTTATTGTCACTCGTAAACACGTATTGTCTAAAACGAACCAATGAAAAAGCCATCTCCTAATAGATACGGTTAATTGCTTTACTTCGCTTCATTACAAATGATTTTTTCGGAGTGTCCCACTTGAAATTAGTTATCATAAGGCAATTAGGATGCCAAACATGAATGACTGATGTTCAACATTTTATCGTCCTGATTTCCACCTACCTTACCAGTTACAATAAGGCATCTAGAGGTGGTAATTTACTGCATTTTTTTAAAATACTGATTCATTTAGAATTAAATTGTTGGCAGACTTTGTTTCGAAAGTAATCACTGTTGAGACTAGAAATTGGCGCTGTCTGCAACTTAAAATGAGGCTTACAATACTTTTTCCCTTAAATTCTGGGAAAAGCTAAACAAACTTACGCTTCAGATAATACTGAAGATGACTATTTGCGTCCCGTTGAAGTACCAGCCAACTAACTTCCAATCTAAATATTCAAACTACAGGATATACTAGTGATAATGGATAGTGTCTATCAGTGGAATTCAGGATGTATATTTCGCCCTATTTGGGACTAATCAGCTGGATGCACCTGCCCCCAGTGAATAGTGTTGTTCCCAGTGGGTTCCGGACTCTGGAGCGGTCGCTTCAAACGTCAGAGAGTTGTCCACTACACTACCGATCCGTCATTCCTACACTTAGAACACAGGTTATGTCGAGGCATTCGCACAGGAGCCCATATGTCACCAGAGACCGATCAGTTCGGTCCAATCAACGACGGTATAATACAAACAGTTATAATGAGATATAATACTTTACAGCTTCCTCTAAGACACAACCATGAAAGTTTGTAGTTATCGTTGAAACATAAAGGTGTTAAACGAGATGATTTTCATTTTTGCTCTTATGAATGAAAAAGGTGTAATCTTCATTCCGTATCCATACTTCTTCGCATGGAAGTCACTAACTACTGACTGAGTTTTCATAGTTTGTCAAAACTTTATGTATGACATTGATGTATTCAGTAGTATTTTCCTAATTCAGATTCTTTTATACAAGCAGACAGTAGAGACTTAGTCACCTAGTATGAATGGAGGTGAGAAAAATATCCACGGTTTAAAATTGTAAAATTCACTCAATGACCTTCTACAAAGATAAAATAATGCTATGTGATGACACACTTGTATTTAATTTACTAAATATAATACAAGACATCCTAAGTGTGAACACGAAGCTAAAAAACCATCAGATTATTAATTTATTATAATTTTGACTATGTAAGATAGCCATGGTCACTGGTTCCTATCTAGCCACTGTCCAAATTTTCACTCCACATTCAATCATCACCCAGGACTGTTTATTACCTTATCAGTTGGATTTTTTCGTTTGTCATAGAAACCTTTTACGCTTAGTCGTTAAACACACAGGACATTCTCTTTGACTGTGAATCAAATCACGGAACTACTCGATTCAAACTGTGAATTTTTAATATTTTTTAATAAGTTAGACAATTTTTCCTTACATATTCCTGAAACTTGCACCAGACTGGATTTTCGCGTATTATACTATCTCAACTAGAAATACTACTTACTGTAGCTACAAGAAGAGACTGTGCAGGATCACTAATTGTAAATTACAATATGAGGAAGTTAATTTTTCCCTAAAAATCTTGATATTTCATAAATTAATCATATGTGTAAATAACAGTAAGCCAAAAAGCTTTTTCGAAACTTTTCATTATTCATTAGATCTTCTTGTGTTAGTGACAATCTTTATATAAACAGAACTAATTCTGTCAATTTAGTGTCTATTGAACAACTGAGGTTTCATGCACAATCCCTTTACCACAAAATACTTTCCACATTTTCATTTCTTCTGATCAATAATTGTTCAGTATAAACGGAAGTTACTAACAGCAATAACAGTTTTCTTACGACAGAAGAGTAAATATTTATCTTCTAGTCTATCGTCCGCATTATTAATCACAACAACTGATATAAGGTAATTTGTTTACATACGATAGAAATGTATAAATTATGACAGGTGACAGTTTACCATTTGTTGCGTCAGTGAAAAAGTAATATGCCCCTAATGTTACAACACCAATCACAGCTACACAGGATTTGTAATGACTGGAATAATGCAACTAATTCAAGAAGACACTTTACGCTTTATCAAGTTACTCAAAGTTACAATGGTTAGTCACCCTACCTTGGTGTGCATTACTAAGGGATTTCATACCACAACCAAATGGCTACACAAGTCTCCAGGGTTTTCAGTGGTTCAACAAATGATATTATTTCGTGATTAGCACTAATAGTAAACGCTAATTCAACTGATAACCCAAATCAAACGAACAGATTTCCCAATCATATTCTACCTGGTTTTGTTTACACACTGCAATGTCGACAAAAGCGTGTGTACTGTATGCATACCGTCAGTTTACAATGACGATTTATGAGAACCCTAAAAAAACAGTATTTTGAGAATCCCAGAAATAATATCAATAATCTGATAAAGCAAACTAAATATTCCGTTTTCCAAACTCTGAAATGTCTCACTATGGATTACAAAATGTGGATGATCGATTATCTCCTGGCAAATAGCAGACTTCACTGGATTCTATAACTGTTTAGTGTCATGCTATTCAAATTCAACAAATTAGAATTTTTTTTACTAGGTCTCAAAATTCTATTGGGGATGCAAGTCCATGTACGTCACTTGCATTTGGCACAGTTTGACTGTGCATTCTTTGTACTTAAAAGTCTTGAAACACCAGGTGATCACAACAATATGACCCAGGAAACTGTAGCCCATGTATCTGTGAAGAGATATAGAGAATGTTGGCGATTGTTATAAGATAGAATAATAAGATACAATGTTTCTAAGCGCTTTACAATTATTATTTGACGTAAAAGGAAACTTTTCTAAAAGTTAATTAGAAACTGCAGAGGAGAATGCAAACTGAATTTCTCTACAGTTCTTTTATCATATGTATCATAAAGAGAAACAGTACTATTTGGTACAGTAGGTTTTAAATACAATTCCTATCCAATAATTTTATCGGAGTGTCTCAGTTTACATCTCTAAAGTTTGATATTCTACAGTTTTATTGGCAGCAAAACTTTCCATAAAGTCAGCACTGTTCTAGTATCTTTGCTTTTTAATATATTGGCTGTCGGTCTTACAAACAAAGCTCCAGTTATCAATTCACCTACCTAAGTTACATTTTAAAACTCTTACTTAATCCATTTTATTGCCTGACTGTGTATAACAATATATATATTTGAGACTGAGCTTTGTTCGAGAATCTATCGCTTATAAATAAAAAGATTGGGCAATATCTGACAATTATTTCATCTGTAAGATTGCAAGACAGTTTCTCACATACTATAAAGGAGTTGCCATCGATGACTACTATAATAAAATATATAGAAAAGTAAGTGATATATATTTGTCTCATCTAGTACCAAACAAACACAGCTGTTTCAATGTAATTTAAGTCTAGTATAAAATTTATTTATTAGGTCATTTTACTAAGTTATTAATTTCTAATAGGTAAAAAAGCTGTATAACAGGTTATGTAGATGAATTTATTTAATGTTAAGCAAAGCAAATGCACTGAATAATTATCAAAATAGTGTTAAAATCTTTGCAGGTGGTCTGAAGTGTAATCCTTAGCTTAAAAAAGATGGATTATAACATGGAAATGGAATTAGAAAACTCTAAGAAGCAAATCATAATTATTCATACTATGTAAATGTAGATAATTTAAACACACGTGGAAGGTGCTTAAATTTAGGGTGGTAGCTTCCTAATCTATTGTCACTAGATAGTA